AACTATTGGGATTTCTAAGCAGAAATAATATTGGGATTCGGCTGTGACATGAATGGGTTGCATATTCATAATTTAAGAACAGCTGGTTGCAGGAAGCATTCAGTCTTTTGCAAGCTATTATAAACCATTCCACTCACACACTGAGATTGCGCTTGAGCAGCCTTCTTTTATTTATTGATCTTTTTGCATTTAAAATCTGGTCACTGCTGCCACAAAGGCTTTTCATTTTAGCTGTGCTAGCAGCACACTGCAGCTTCAATTTTAAATATTTAATTTTTACTGAATGCTGCATGAAATGACAAGGAAAATGAAGAGAATCTATCCTTCAAAGAATGTGTGGGTCAGCATAAGCCATAAATCTGATGCATCATACTTTGTTTATATAAACTATACTGTGTACATGTGTTTTGCATACTCGGAAAATATGTTGAGAAAGAAAATATTAAAATGATAGGGATGCTTGGTGACTACTAATAGGCCTTTTTTTTAACCTTTGCTTCCTTATAAACATGATTTCTATATCTACAGTATATCCGATTCAAACCAAAAGCAATCGATCACATGCAAGTAGTAGTAAATTAAGAACTTCTTGTGTTTCTTAGTAATTTGTGTTTAAAAAAGGTCACGTGAGCAAGGGTCCTTATTCTGCAAATTTTACTCTCTTATTAGGAACATTTTTCTCATCAACAGTTTTCGAGTGCTAAATTAAAATGGGGGTGGAATCTGCAGGCTGATTCTTATTTATACGTTATGGCCTTCTGGAGAAGGATTTTTTTTTCCTACCTGGTTTAAACCAGAGTAAACAAACTTCTTTTTATTGGATTATCCCACCCAGAAGCAAGTCCCTTTTAGCTGTGTGGTTTAAATAGGATCCACAGCCTAGGAGGAGTGGATGATTAGAAATAATCCATGCTGTGATGGAGGAGCTCAATAACTTGCTCACTGTATTGTGCAATGGATTATTTCTGTTAATTTGACCAGATGTTCCTTAATCTGTATAGTTTTTTATCCAGTATTTTCTTTCCGAGACCTGCTGTCAGCTAAGAAGAGATCTTTCAGTGTAGCAGCAGGGTAATAAGAAAAGGGCATCTTATGTTAAACTCCGGTCTTCATTTTGCAGGTGTAACAGTTTATAATTCCTTCTGGTTTTCCCTCTAAAGACAAAGTTTTTTAAGCATTTTTTTATTTGCAATATATTTACAGTATATCTGATATACATCATAGGTACAAAATAAGATTTTGTATGTAATATCTGTATTTGTTTGTCAAGGTGTCAAGGGTATATTTGAGGAAGTGTGAATCAAGTGAAAATTTTAAGCAGCAAATCTGGCAGACAAAATGGTCTTTTACTGAACTTACCAGGAAATGGTGAAGCTTTGTAATGTATTACAGCTGTGAGATGAAATGGAAAAATTTTGGCCTGAAGAAATTTCCTTTAACATAAGTGTTATTTATTGCTCATTACTGTCTGTGGGTTTCTCTAAAACCCAGTAACACATTGTCGTCCTTTTTTTTTTAATGGAGAGACAGACAGAATTGTAACACGATAAGGATGTAGAAATTATAGAGCTTCAAAGAAAATACAGACAAAGACCTTTATCTTAGGGCAGGGAAAGGTCTTTCAACTTCTAGCATTATCTGAATGTACTGAGCTTGAGATAAAATAGTAGGCCACATCCTCAGCTGTCTTAGCACACCTCACAGTTGGGGGTGAAATTCTGTTCATACATTGTGTATATATATGTGAGAAGATGAAATGTACTTACAGAGAAGCACTCTGTTGTCTGTACTCTCCTTAGGTTGTGATTGATTTGTTTTCTGTAAGTGTATAGAAATTTCCCCAACTTCTCTAGGCTAGTATAATCCTACATGAAAGCTCCCTAGTGTAATCCAAATATTTAGAGCTAATTGAAGTATGCTGCAGGAGCAATACTGTCTTTTAGGAAACAACACATTCAACCCCTATCTTCATCTCTGGGCTATGGAAGAATTTATCTTATCACTCATGTGTCTGACAAGACAATATTCTATGCATGTTTTGGTACCGCCAGGGACTTGATTGGGCAATGTAGTAAAAAAAAAAAGTTTGTCTTTTCTAAACTTGCAAATAATATTAGTTTAATTCATTTTCACCTGCTTTTTTTGTGTATATTCTAACAAAGGATTTATAATGAATTTGTACCTAAGATGGGGTCATAGGTTTGAAGTAATGTATACATTTTGAAGATGTTTTTCCACGGGGAAAAAAAAACTTCAAAAAAGCAGTCATCTTCCTGAGAAAACTAGAACAGCTGGTTCTCTGCTGGTTCGCATGGACAGTGAAACTAACTGTTTAATTAAAAAACAGGCTAGAGCTTTGAAGTTGTGTTCACCTGAATTGCGAGGATGAGTTGCCGAGTTCTGCTCTGGAGGAGAACCTGCTTGTTCTTTATGGTCTTAGATAGACATTGTATACGGGCTGTGTTTAGTAAATTAGAGCTTTCTTGTCAAGACTGGTTATAGACAGTTGAGACGTGTGGTTAGTGTTTCTTGATTAACGGCCTTTTTTTCTTGAAATGCTGATAGTGTCCTATCCCCAAAAACAGTATAAGCCTATTGTTACTTTGGTATTTTTTCCTGACATGGTTAAATTGCAGATTAATATATTTGTTTCATTTTTTGTGTTTGCGCCCACTATCTTTATTAATCTATAATAATAATAATAAATACAGTATATACCAAATGCAGCAATCAAAATATTTGTTCTCCGTTTTCAAGCCTGAAATTTAAACTCTTTTATAGGCTCTTAAACATGACCATTGCTTCAGGGATTTTGGTCTGCTGAATAATTATTATTAGCTTTTTCATCATCTGTTTTTCATTTCCATGAAACCTGAACAGTAAAAAAAGTATAGTCTATATATGTTTTTTCTTTATGGTATTTAAAAATAACTTTTGTTTTGCATTGAAAGTTTGTGCATATGGAAGGTGTTACACTTTACCACAGAAATCAGAAATGTATTATGTTTTTCAGAAGATTTAAAGAGATGTTTCCATCTTAAAACAATATGCTGCATCACTAGTTAAAAATGTTGCAGGTTTCAAAAGGATATTATTTGGCCAAAGGGTGATTAATGAACTAACTCTTATGGTACAGTGACAGGAAGCAGGTTTCACCTGTTAAGAGTATGAGTAATATTCAAAAACTGAAATATACTATACAAGACTCCATTAATTGACTTCAAGCCATTACAGTACTATTCTGTTTGCAATCTGGTTTTATAAACTTTTACCATGAAGTGGGTTTTCTTTTAAATGCATTTTTATCTTTGAGCACAATTGATGAAACATAAATGTTCAATGGACTGTTACCGCATGCTTCTAAATTAGGATACTGAACTGTTACTACAGATATGCCTCTTTAAAAGCTTCACAAATTTTGGTGTAATACCATATTCTTTTTTTTTTAGAATTGAATATTTTTTGTGACATTATATAGCAACACAATGCATGACATTTTTATCAAGGTGAAAATGTTTTGTTGTGTACCTGTGTGATGAAAACTTGACTGAACTTCAGTCTTTTTAAGATGTCTGATCCATCACAGTGGTGAAAATACCTTTAGCTGCTGATAGTATGAACTAGAGAATAAATTAAAATTCTATTAATTGCTGTAGTGTACTTTAAATTGGGTCTCAGTCTTTGCATTTTAAGAATATTGATGAATTATTAAAACTTTTTTCTAAATTGTTCATAGTCAGGTATTTTTTCAAATTCCTTTTATGGCATAAATTAATCTAAAATTTAACTTGTTGTATTTATATATCATATTAAATATTAAATGTAGAGGAATGGATAATTATTATGAATCAGTTGTATTGTTATACGTTTATCAATCGAAACAACCTGGAAAAGTTTTATGTAGATAAAGGTTAAGGCAAACTATAAATCTGTGATGATGTGAAAATCAAACGCGCAAAGTAAATGATGGTAATCTCAAAACAAATTCCATCAAGCAAATAATTTCCAAAATAATTTTAACGAACTTCATCATAGATGTAAAGTTAGTACATTTAATTTTGAATTGGTGTTGTTGTTATTATTATCATTTATAAATAATGTATGTTTTATCTGTCTTGTGGTACTGCAGTGGTCGTGTAGATAAATTGCTTTGTCCTGGGGATTCTGAGTGATGCATGCAGGCTGTAAATCACTAGCACTAAAATCTGTTGCTGACACCAATGTTAAATGGTGCAGCCTTCATTTCCTTCACATTCCAAATGAAATGAACCCAGATGGAAATGTTTAATGAAAATAATAGAAATTGCTGGCTCGCCAGAATTTTCAAGAGCTTATGCAAGTGCTGTTGTCTCTGTGATAAAATCTGCAAAATGATATTCAAGTTAGTGCAGAGAGAGATTTGCAGAGAAGCTGAGATTAGGTCTTCCAGTCCAGGTTTCATCGAAATGGTGACACGTTTCTTCATGAAATCTGAAAGTCAAGAAGCAGTTGTACATGCAATGCAGCATATTTTGGAGAATGAAATGGAAAAAAAAAACACATTTATATTGTAGTTTATGAATTCTTGTGACAAGAAATAGACTATAACAAATGGAAATAATACTTCTACTTTAAGAATGGTGCTTTGTTTTCTTTGTAATGGTATGGTTTATCCCACCCCTAATTTAATGCTTTACCATCAACAGGTTCAACATGAAATAAAAGCTGATAGTTTGTGGGCCTCATGTATTACAGGGCTGTAGTTATAAGCATGAAGTTAGAAAGAGCCTCCTTATTGTACTGTTTAATCTGTCAGTTTGACCACATTGCAGGTGTTCTTTGATATCTACATAATGTGGCAGTGGAGAAGAATTTTCCCTCCAGGGTTTTTACTGTAAATAGGTATGGGTATGCAGAGTAATTATAAATACCAGACTTTTTTTTTGTATTTGTTTTCAGATGAAAAGTAATAATTAGAAAATTATGCAGATGTCTAAGTGGATTCTTTTGCTTTGTTTCAGTTTGCAGAGCAGTGATGTCTCAGGGCTGAAGACACTCTTAAACAGTAAGTGTTTGGTCACGTTGTCACGCCATTCAAAAACATGTCCACTGCCTTTCATGTTTTAGTGGTGCTTAATATCAAGATTGTTGCATGACCTGTTTTGTATTGCAAGTTTCCTTGTTTTTACAGAGCCTTTTTGTTCTGTAAATGCTACCTAATTGGATGACCATTTTTGTACATAGCCTTGTCTGCTATGCACAGAACCTGAGAGATTTTTTTATGGACTGTCAATTTTCTCTCTTATCCATGAGAAGTTCATTTCTGCTATAGATCTTATATTTCCACCTATTGAACTGTAAAACTATTGTGTTTCAGAAGTAATTAAAGGTAATATAGTACTCCATTATATCAAAACTTAGATCATAATTTCAAATACAGGATATGTATCAAACGTTTTGAAAGATTCCTATTTTTAAGCTCTGGTCCAGAGATTCTGACAGTATTAATTCTTTTTGAGGGTGGCTGAACCTCAAAGTTCAGCGTTTGTACAGCGCTAGCAAAATGACCAAAATTTCACCAGCAAAAACAAACCGAGAAACTGAAGACTACTTGTAATTCCAAAATAATTGTTGTATGTGATAACGCTATATAAGAAAAGAAAAAGAAGAAATAGAGCAAACTTTTTCCTTACATCTTTGAAACTATTAATATAGAATGTTTGGAATAAAACACCACTTGGTCATTTTGTTCCAAGTAAATCTGTAATTATTGTTTCTTCACAAGGAAGTGCTGTTTCATAGCTACAAAGTGTATTGTCATTTATATAAAAAAAAGGTGGTGTGTTTTGTTTTCATTCCAAACTTGCACAGCTCATTCTGTCTTTTTTTCTTTTGCTTCAGGAGTCTTATGTTTAGTTTAATCATGTTTTTCTTGGAAGTCAGTTAATTCTCCAGCAGGTTGGAATAGTTTGGCAAGTGGAGCCTTTGTTTTTTTTTCCTCATTTGTATTATAAATAGTCGGGTCTTCAGGTAGGATTCCTTTAAAAAGTGATTGCTCAAATGACTAAAAAAGTATAGTGCACCCAGACAATCCTGGAAAGGAACTGAAAATATTGGTTTCAGTCCTATTATGGAGTCTGACATATGAGTTTCTTAAAACCTCAATTATTACCACATGGTGTAAGGACAGCTTGTCTGAACACCTTACTGTGCCTATGAAATATGCAAAACTCATGTATACTTCATGCAACATAAATTCCTTAGGATAACAATCAATTAGTCAGTAACACCTTAAGAGTTGCAGTAGAAGTCAACACCTTTATGTGTTTAATGTAGTTTTAAGAAACGACATATATTCTGTATTGTGGTGAATAGAATTGAATATTCATTCAATTCAGGTAAATTTGTGAATAGTGTAATCATTTTGTGTAAACATTAAGGACGCAAAAGTCCTAGGATCCAAATAACAGAAAGAACATGCAGATAGATGTTAAATGATTAATATTTTCATATACCGAGATATTAAATCTCTCATGAATGCCATTGCTTCATGTAATAAATTAATTGTATTAGATTGTATGAAGCATTTTTGCAAAGTACAGTTCAACTGGAGATGAAAACCAGGTACTTTACAAATGAAAAATCCAGTGTCATGGGCTAAAGATATTGTGTCCATCCATTACTTCTCTAGTCCAGAGGAGCAGATGGAATGTTAAGATGTGAATTAAATATGAACAAGTGTATTTATCATTATCTACATTTCTAGGTGACTGTTAGATGGATAAGAAGAACACTTATTGTGTTAGTGATGATATTTATTAACTATTTTGTCTATAAATATTTACCTTTGCAAGACCAGGCTTTAGCTATTCCAAGCTGCGGGAGTAAAGTGGCAGTTTCACTTTCTAATGTTTTGCAATAGTTGTGAAACGAACACATTTGTCCCTGAATAGGTGCCCATTGTTTCTTTACAGTAAGTTATCAGGCATCTGTGGTTACAGACAATGTCACCAATAGCTGAAGATAGCCTAACGTTATTACTGGACTTCTTTTTTAAATTGGCAGGCTTACATGCCTTTGGGGTGCTGGTTAGGGGGAGCCTGAGTTCATTAGCATTCGTTACTTATTTCTTCAAAGGAAACCTTAACAGCATTCAAGAGGAATAAATACAGCTGTTCTCAGCTTAGACATGAAGTTTATTTGCTTTTTCTGAAGTCTAATAGTAGACGGGTTTTATTTATTAGGCTCAGTGCATTTCACTGAAACATGGAAACAATAATATAAGACTCACTTGTAATGATCAACATTTTGTTGGAACTTGCTTACCTCGGAACATTATAGTAGTGTAAACCTGCCCTTGGAGGATTACTACCGCAAGTCTATCACGTAACCATACAAAAATACAAATGGCTATTATTGATAATATAAAAGACCGCAGAAGAAGAGACATATGTTATTTGTTGACAGATTAAAAGAATCTGCACACTTAACTATTTGGCCATTTCTTACAGTACTTGTCTTCTGTACACTGAACCTGTCTAAAGAACAGATCATATATATTATCCTCAAGGCTTCTGCTATAGGGAATGTCAGAACAGAGAATAAATAAGGTGGAATCATATCATCTTTGAGCTGATGTAGTGCTATGTAGACTACATGGACAGACAATGGAAATCTCTCAAGGTTTATAGCTAGAGTCATTCAGCTAGCAATATTCACATTTCCCATTTAACTATGATTATTGGAAACGATCTGCAGAAGAAATGGCACAAAAGAGAGTGAAGAAGGAGCTTACCGACTAAATTTACAAGAAGCTTATCTGTGTAGGGTGTGTTCCTGTATCTATTGTGTGCTTTTCAGTTTTTTTTAAATGCAGTGTCCTTTTCCAGTTAATAGTATTTGCTCAAAGAGTGGATTCTGTGACAAGTAGTGAAATGTTAGCAGATTGTTGTGGCTTTGTAATATGATGTGGTCATAAATAACCCACTCTTGTCCTTGTGTTCAGTTTTTAAGGAAGGCAAAGAAGCAGCAAACATTCACAAGAAAGAGTTTTATTGATCTACATAATGAATAACAAGACCACACTGTAGGATTTATATAGGGCTGGTTAATGGTGAGGTGATTATAGTTTTGTTAATATTTTGAAGGGTTGAGGAGAGGAGACTGAAGTGTAGCTCAAGAATAAGAGATAAGAGAGTTAGTTCTTCAGTTTAACAACAAAAAGAAATCATTGACAGTTTTAACTGTCAACTTTTAAAAATAATGACATTTATTGGAACATGTTTGTTCAGTTGTGGACAATTTTATTGCACAGATTTAATGACTGTAATAAACAATATTCTGCAATAAAAATGAAAATTGCTTAAATGCTTGATAGATATTGAGACTTTTTTTGTTGAAGAAAACAGGACATAGGTTTCAATGTCTTAGGTTCTCTAATGGATGTACAGACTTCCTACAACTGTGTATCCATCCAGAACCATTTCCCGTTTGGCAAACAAAATAATTTCCAGTTGGGGAAAAAGCGAATACAGTAGCAAGTCCACTTGTGTCTCAACAGTAAGCAGAATGTCTGGGAGGGTTGTCCAATCCTGGTCTGACGCATCTGCAGGTTTCCAAGGTCTCTTTTAGCAGCAGCACTTGAAGAGCTGGAAGAAGCTGTTAAATTGGTCCAGTTAAGCCAGTAACCAGCTGGCGTGGTTTTTAAGAGCCAAAATGGAGTGAAAATCCACAGACACACTAGCTCTCCAGGACCAGGCTTACACGTCCCTGATGCATGGTGCTGTTCCTCTGGAAGGATGGGCGCTTCACGATTTGTAATTAGCTGTGCAATGCAACATTATGCTCGCACCTCCTAAAATGTGAGGAATTCTTCTCACAGGCTGCTAAAGGCAATTCTTGTTTGATTCACTTTGTACGTACGGCTCTAGCTTCAGTGTACTTGGTTTTGTTACCAGCCCCCTTTCAGATGAAACAGAAAAAAAAAGCTACTAGGATTCCCTGACAGTGAGAGAGTGCCTGAAAATAATTTAAGATGCTGAATAGCTATACTTAAGTTGAGGTGCTGTGTAAGGAAACCATAGTGCTTATGTGGACAGATATACTGTATTCCTTTTAGAATGTGATGTGTTTTTAATGACAAACATCCAGGATGTGGAAATTGCAGAGAAACAGAAAACATCCCGAAGGTCAAAAGCAGCAGGCAGCCTCTCAGATACTCGAGGGCATCGGATTCTGTTACGTCAGATTTGCAATCTTGACTTTTCGCAGACTGTCAGGGGCAGGGAGGCTTTTGCTATCTTCCAATGCTCGTCTAATATGAGGTGGATGTTGAATTTATTTTAAAAAAGAAGTCAGAACTGACAGAGCTGAAGTAATACATTTATGGTGAAACTGAGTTTGAATTTAACAGTTTTCCCCCAACCTCCACTGGCACCGCTGTGTTCAGGTGCATTTGGAGGTCGTGATCAGATATTTATATATCTTTGTTTTTGAAAGCTTTGTTTTCTACAAAATAAATATGAAAGCTTGAAACAGGAAATCTTTAGTTTAGGATACAGTAGCCCTGGTGCAGGCCTTTGTATTTCATAATCAAATTGATATCATTAATGTCTGTATTTTACAGAGTGTGTTGACAGTAGCACAGATGTTTGAGTTAACAGTGAGTGAAACCTAACTATTTAGGAATAGGAAGAAGTGGGTCCTTTTAAATTTTAAGCATGCTTTCTTTAAAATGAAGGAAACTCAGCAAGCCAATAATTTTACTTGACATTGTTTGATTTTTGTACACAGTTCTTTTTTGCCTTCTGTGGTTGAAATTAATTGACAAGCAGGCCTACAAATGTATTATAATACATATATATGTATATGTACTGAAGCGTATGCTGCATTATACACTTTAAAAAAGGAGATTTCTGTTTCTTTTGTCAGATACATTTTGCGGTCTACCACTTGAATGTAAAAGCACAACATGGTTAACATTTTTCTATTTAAATTGCTATTGTACTAAATATTCTCACTTTTATTTGAGCTTTTTTATTAATTAAATGTAACGGCACTCTGTTG